GTGATGGTGCAAAACTTGGGCCCAATTCTAATAGCGAGCGCGCATTCTCAGGTATTGTTATGCCCCCAATCACGGTGACCTACAATGAATAGCAGGGACGAATGCCCGGAGATCATACGCGACCTGATCTCGTACGTTCGCATCGATTTTTGATGTGGGATGGTGCAGTCGTCAACCACATGCGACTATAATCAGCTGTTCTAAACTTCCTCATTGGAAGTCACGAAAAAGCGGTGGGTTTTTCGAGAAGTTGTTGATTATGTAATTGCCGGAGAGTTCTTCGTCTTCTTGTAAGTGTTATTGAAGCGTTTGGCCTAGTAGATTGTATATCAGTATACCCTTCCAGGCTCTGAAGAAGGCGATACTGCCGAAACGTCAGCTAGCGTTGTATTGTATTGTGTTTTTACTGAAAGTAAAATTTATAAAAATCAACAGGATATCGGTTATCACGTCTTTTGTGCGGATCTCAGCACTTCTCATATCAATTCGTTTTCTCGCATCCATTTGTCCACGATGGTCCACTAAGTTTTACGTGTGCGTTCGGTTACTGCTAGAGGATTTTCTTTTCATCTTGAATGTCGTCAAATGCTGATCAAGCAATTCCCCTCGAAGTCCTGACATAGTCCCGGACTAGCGCATTCCCAACTGGATTGCAGAGAGTGATTTTTTCCAAGAGAAGTCCCGTACCAAGTTCCCGAAGCCGAAGGGATGAAAGGCGTGAGAATGCAAAAAAATAGTAGTGGAATCCGCATGTCTAATCGCTCTTCTGTTTTCACTTTTCTAATATTTTCCCAGCATCGCTTGAATTCTTCATGACCACATTGAGGTGTCCTCTTTAGGCGCTTTACTGAGATTAACGGAAAATATTCACAAGACCACACAATTACTATGTGAAATACCATATAGGGAGTGGAAATCTTGTAACATCTCTTGAAACGATAGAGGTGGCATAAGAATAGCTGTTGCGCTCATATGGTGGCGGATCTCTCGGCAGTAACAGATCAATTACCGCGAATGATCAGAACGCTTATAATTTAACAGACAGGTACCGCTATGTCTTCCTGGTTTCGGAACCTTTGACTGATTACCATCTTTCTTTTCCTTCCTCGCTTCTTCATTCTTCTTCTCATTTCAAACTTGTTCAACCAGTTGAGAACGATCAAACACAATGTGGATCGAAATCTGCATAATCCATAATTGAAAATTACATATACATGTATACTTATATATAAATGTTCAAACATACAATATTTAGATTCGTATAACTATCACGCTTCGCGCTCATCAAGTTTCTCATCCCTCTGGGATCCGGGAATTGGCAGAGCACTTGTCCGGGAAAAGGTCACTATCCACAATCCAACTGGGAACGCTCGAGCCCGGATATTTAAGGACACCACGAAGAGTCGACTCCACCAGCATTTTACGAGAAAAAACGTGAGAGCAAGAACTCCAAAAAGAAGTTGTAGCAGCACATAAAATTTAGGAAACCTTTGTATGGGAACGTAATTTATGGTATGGTGTATGTAATGGCTGTGAGGAAACAAATCGAATGTGAAAAGTGCTGGGATCCGCATCGTAGACTTGAGGACAGGTGCTATAAAAAATGACGTCTTTCGATCATTCGGTTACTTCAGTTTCTTAGTGAGGATATTTCTCCATTAGTTATAGCGGTAACACCCTGAATACGAACGAAGCGACCTTGACAAAATTAAATACCCCAATTTTTACTGTACAAAAAAATAAGATGAAGAAATTTAAAAGAAAACGCTCGTCTTCGCCTTCTAAACGGATTTTATTCACAGCGACGAGTTTATTAGTTTTCATGTGGTTCTCCTTGTATACTACAAACCATGTACTTGAAAAATTAGTCAGCACTTCGTAGCCTTGGCCTCTAAGGTATAAAAACATAAGAACAAACAAACCTTCTCCAACTTTGCCTAACTTAACAAACTCATCTCATGAATAGAGTGTTCGCCGGCTGGTGAATTGGTTGACCACAAGAAATGTGATGATGTATGGATAATAGATGCGAGCAAACAAATCGAATGTGGAAAATTCTGGGATCCGCGCAGAAGATGTAGAAATAAAAAACTAGTAGGATGGCACAGTAATGAAATGTGTAGAACACGGCACACACAGTTTATGTAGTGTAAACAATGGACTTTCTAGTAGTGTAAAACGCATTGCTGGCCCGGCCACTATCATTCATCCCATGTCAGGGAAAGCCGTTCCCACGAAAGGCAGCTTTTGGACAATTGAAATTGTGAAGGAAAATTAGTCGAGACGCATCTCAATCTCGATTTTGCTAATCTTACCATTCATTTCTTATCCAAACAGGTAAACGCTGCACTGAATTTCATAAGGATTTCATTCTGCATCGTTGAGTCATTAACAAATTGAAGCAAACTGTCTAATGACACACATTGCGAAAGCACTGCTAGGCCACGTTTCTCGCAGGAGTCTTCACTAATGGTTACAAATGTGTTTGGTGACGACTTGTGATTCTGTCACCAGACATTTCAACCGAAAATGGCAGTGCTGACGCAGAACAACGTTGCGATCCGACCAGGTCGACCTGGATCGAAGCATTGTAGCACCACTTACAGCCGGCTCATCTCGTGATAAAGCATTTCTTCCGAATTCCTCATTAAGCAATTTAATATATTAATTATTGTGTCCACCAAATTTGAGATCTAGCGTACTGGTGGCACAGTGTAAGAAGGTCCACTCCCACCGGAATGATCCAAAGAATGTCCTTCTTGAACGGAAATACCAAATAAGGGGTAAGTTAAAAGATTTCGGAAACAGGGAGACTCATGCCCCTATAGATCCTCGCTACGATTCCGTAAAAGTGTGATATTATAAACGCCGGTAGTAAAACAAACATGGTAATTCAGATGTTGCCATCTCAAATTAAAAAAACTCGAAAAGCATCCTGACTACGCCGTAAATTTTCATCACTGCGGATTAAGATCGTAAAGAAATGAGTTCGCCATTCGGTGATTTCTGCTATCGTTTCTACTAGTTCTCTGCGAAGAAACAGTTCATTAGCTCTGAATTAATTAATGAACGAGTTTCATGTTTATAAGTTTGATGCTAAAGCTGAAAAATAGGACGCAAGTGACATCGACTAATCAAAAACAACTCCAGCCCTCTAGCAAAAACGCAGATTTCCGATTTTAGAAACCACAAGGCGAATTATAAAAGGAATGGGACGCCTGGATATCATAGCTAACATACGCCAGAAACTACCAATTACACCGTATCCAATAAGATTAGTTCCATAGTTAAATTGGGAAAACTCCTCTAACGTGTCAGCAATTTCCACACAACCCAACAGGTAAACCGCACTCTTCTCCCAATCCCTAGCAATTGATGAAATATCTTTATAACTCAGCGCTTTAATCCGCCAATAACTATTGTGCTCAAGATTTTTATTTTAGCAAAGAGGTGCTCAGTTAAGCAAAGCAAGCATAGCACAGAGAATACGCGTTTGGCCTGGATTTCAACCAAAAGAAGGAGATTCTAGAACGAAATCTTGCATGAAATTAGAAGTCGCCAACAAAATGGAAAACGTGTAGCCGGAAGAGGTTTTGCGAAAAGCAGGAACTCGTTGTGAGCTGTTTTGTTAGGGAAATACTGGCGAAACAACACACCACGAACAGGCCTTGTTAGGTTTTCTTCGTAAGACACAGGCGTTAGATTGCTGTGGTGTCACAAGAAAGTAGGCAGTAATGTGTTAAAACGGTACGTAAACCGTGCAGTTAAGGCCTAATTGCAATATCAAGTCGTCGGTTGAAATTGCAAGAGTCAAAAAACAAGACGTCTTCCTCCAGGTAATCAACAAGCACACAAAAAGCCCAGATTTGGTGATCTATTACTACAATAACTATCCTTCTTATTATTACCATTATTACTAGCAGTAGTAGCAGTAGCAGCATTAGTAGTAGCATTGGCAGTACTAGTAATAGTAGTAATAGTACTATTAGTAGCAACTAGAGTAGCAGAGTAGTAGTAGATTAGTAGTAGTAAAGTAGTAGTAGAGATAAGTAGTAGTAAAGTATTAGAAGTAGAGACAAGTAGTAGTTGAGTAGTAGTGGTAACAAGACAAAATAGAGTTACAGTTACAGAGTTTGACAAGTTACAGTTTGTGAGTATCAGACTGAGTGAATCATATTACCCGTAACTGCATAACATTCCACGAACGATTTCCTTTTGTAGGTTAATATTAATATATTTATTTATGTGATCTTATAAACTGGTCATCTCAAGCTGACGCTAGGTTGGTACGAATCTTCGTTGTCGTTGTCGTTGTTTTTGATGTCATTGATCAATGGCTGACGTTTCGGCGACATCGCCTTCCTCAGAGCCTGGACGCATTTTATATTAGAATATTTTTATTATTCGGTGGAAAAAAAGGTTAAAGTGTTAATGAAGACGAAACTTTCAAATAGACGCCATATTGGACAGAAAGGCCACTCACCGTGATGTTACGTGCAGGACTGGCCCACACGTAGTTCACGTGGAGTCGCGAGAAAGACACACCCCGGGGTCAAAATATCATTTTGAAATAAGGGGCCAGGTTGCGCGTGATAGAGAGGCATTAGTCTTTCCGGTTCATTTTTGGATTTTTGAAATTTATCCAAAACACCTCAAGAGTTTTGCTCGTTGATGTTTCTGTTTCCTGCGCTAGGATCCGCATATTCACTTCAAAATCATCGCCGTTGTGCTTTTGTGCCCTATGCGTACCTAGAGGGCTGTTTAAACGGATTTTAGCTTTTCCATCCAGGTGTTCTTTTATGCGGACACAAAGTGGTCTACCCGTTTCCCCAATATATTTCTCACCGCATGCGTTACATGAGATCAAGTATATTATACCTAACCTCATGCAATCCCCGTCTCTCCCGTTGGGACAGATCATACAGTTTTCTGAGCTGCACAAACGATCATAGAGACAGTTTCGAACTAACTGGCGGCGTAGGGTATTGGGTGGGATGTCAACAATCGTTACATAATTTTCCAGACCACTTTTTTTAATTAAGCACTTTTTAGTGGCATGACTTACTTCATTTGATATGAAGGGTAGCTTAAAGGGGATCTTACTTTCGTCTGAAACATTATTTTGGGAACTACCCTACGTTTTTTTTTTAACCCGAGTGGCTTCTACTTCGTAGCCATTGGAAATGGCAATTTTTCGTGCCAGGTTTTGCGATTCCTTCCTTTCCTCTTCTCCTGTACACACATTTTTAGCCGTACGATACATGTTTTTGATAAGTGCTTTTTTCATGTGTGAAGGATGAGAGGAGAGGCAGTGAACGAGAATGTTTTTACTACTTGGCTAGCGATACCATTTTGTTATATAGCCACTTACTGAGAGCTTTATTTGGATGTTTAAGAATGGAAACCAGTTCCCAGTAGGTTTTTCTCGTGTAAATTTTATATACTCTGACTGTCGGTTTACCAATTCAATGCACTCATCCATCCGTTCTTGTGTGGAACAGACGATGAAGCAGTCGACTATATATTCGACAGTGGAGTAAGGGTCGGTGATCGAGAACTGGACCTTTCCGCCTTAGAAATGAAAGCGATGGCAAGGCTTGGTGCTAAACGCTGCCCCATCGCCAACCCTCTAATTTGTGCAAAATATTTTCCAGACCACCTAAAGATTGAACAACTAAGACACTGTTTTAAGAGGGTCATTAGTTGCGCAATCGACAAGCCGTGCATTTTTATTTTCTTTTCATGCTCTACGAGCAACTCGAGAATGGCTTGCATTGCGGAGTCAATGGACACGTTGGTATAAAGTGAACTAACATCGAATGACTCCATTAAATTCGTGTTGTTTGGTTGCGCGCGCCTTAGGTGATCCAGGAATATTTTGGTGTTATGTAGATGGGTTGGAATGAATTTTAGCAGCTGGGTTAGGATAAGGTTTAGGAACCACGTTATTCTATCCGTTGGCCCGCCTATACAACTGATAATAGGTCTAACTTTACATGATGATGGGTTCATTGACGTATTATCATCAGTTGAAGTAAGCTTATGTGTTTTAATAAGCAAGTAAAGGACAGGGCAAATCGGGTGTTCGTTTTCAAGTCGAGAAATAACTGAAGGCTCTAAACCCGTGGCCTTTGCCGCGCTGACCCATTCTTAATTCAATTTTTGGTATTGATTTCTGTATTCCTTTTCAGAGGATGTTCGATAGAGAGAAACATCACTGAGGCGCTCCTCTGTTATCCTAATATCCAACTGACTAGGAAGAGCTACGAATTCTCAATTCAAAAGCTCTCTAACCTGGCTCATACCACATTTTTGTTGGTGTGTGAGATTGGAGCTTCTTACTCGTTTTTGGTAGTGATTAAGTATGCGGAGAATTTCGTCCGAAAATAAACGAAATGTAGGCTCAATATCGCTATTTGGTAGCTCTTGTTTAAAGAAAGTTCGGAGAAAGGGTATTGGTGGTAGTTCCCCCTTGATACTACTTTATCTAACCTTTCTAGCCTAGCCCTGTAACGTAGCTGATCTTGAAGTTCATGTAGACTACATGTGATCCTGCGCAGGATTGGCTTAGAAATGCGTTGACTAGGCGCGAAACTCGGACCCAATTCAAACAACGAACGCGCATTTTCCGGAAGCGTTGTGCCTCCTAGCACAGTGACTCTGGATGTTTTTGGTGCGCAGTCTATCTATTTCAGCGTTTTCACTTGGAACTTGACCAGCGGTGGTCCTTTGATTTGACCCTTTTGCGTGGCGTGATAGATCTTCAAACCTCTTCTTTAATTTGCTCTTAATATCACACCGAATCTTTTCGCATACCGATTTAGGCCCAGCTACTATTCTC